TAACAGCCAGAAATATTTCTCCTCTCCCCATGGTTTTGTTGCTGCTTACATCCTGCCTCCAGGTGCAGTTATCTTTACTCTTGTACTGCTGCCCAGGTACATGTATGTGTTGTAGTTAACTACACTGTAATAGCTACAGTTTTGCCTGGGTCAGAGTCATCAAAAGGGGAGATTGAATTGTCTAGGAGAACGTAGGAATGAAAACAGCAAGCAGGCAGGGAGATCTTTTGAGGCACTTGATTACTCTTATGTTAAGCTATTTTATTACAGCACAAAAAAAAAAAAAGCATGGAGAAGATGCATTTCCAGTTAATGCTCTGAACTCATATCTGTCAAAGGTGATGAATAGAGTGAATACCTGTGCAGATAGGCATTGATTTTCCTTTAAACTGGAGGAAAAGAGACTTGTATGAACCTGTAACTTCCATGATACGGACATGAATTCTGAAATTTTATCTTGTCTTTTCATTGGTTCCTTTCTTATGTTGGAATTCTTTTACTCCAACAGTTTAATAGGTTGTCTCTTGAACCTACCCATCTCTGATTTCCAACTGTATGATCTACAGTCCTCTTGTTCTTCAGTATTCAAGACGTCGTGTATCACATGGTTTTTATTTTCCCTTCATCGATCTCTGGTATATGTAAAGACTGCTAGCTATCAAATGCATTTTTTTCCGAAATGACTTCCTACTCGAGTTCAGCTTCACGCAAAGGAAACAATTGCTTAAATTTAAAATTGGCTTTCTGTAAGTTAAAGCAACAGAGCACCATGAAGAGACCCTCATGACAGCAAGGAGATCTTACCAACAGACTATTTGGTGGCTGTGAATTTCCACAGTAACAATGTGGACAATATTCCGTGAACATAGATGAAAGACTTGGACTAATGAGCATCCTTTTACAAAAGCAGGTGTTACTTTATGTTCTGACATTAGCAGACATGAGGCTCAGGAGGCACATTCTTTATAGGGGGTATATAGGGGGGTTTTGTAGTCTTATATAGCTTTTGGTTTGAACTAGTATGACCATTTGTAGGGTTTCAAAGAGCAGTAATTTTACCTAAAATGGAAGTAATCAGCCGCAAAAAGTTGTTTGTTCCTATGTTTCCTATCATAGAGTTCAGCTTCCTGCTTCTACCAGCAGCTGCATTAACATTCCCATTAATAATCACAAACAATACGTTAATAACCATTCAAAATGTGTAATTCGTGGGTAATATTATTTGCTTTGATTTTTTTTATTTTCTTGTGAGAATTCATAATCCCACCTTTCTGTCATAAATTTTCCAGTTTCTAAATGTGTTTCCAACCTTTTTTTGCTTGATCTTGTGCTTATGTTGACCTATGGCTTGGGCAGTTCTCCACAGATTCTTGTTCCCAGCTACTGCTCTGTCACTACTGTATGAGTACACTCGCTCTTAGCTCTCCATTCCACTAATTATTTGGGGGGCTTGGTCTTTACTTGTCTTTACTTGGATCCTGGTAAACCCCTCTTTCCTCCTTTCTCCACATGTTAATATCCGATCCTTCTGGAGAAAGGTAAGACTCTCAGTATGCCAGTTTCTCCTAGTACAACTTTCCCCTTTCATCCTGACCCAGAAGCCATTCTCAGTCAGATGGAAGATTGTAATAGCTGCATCAAGGAGAATTTTATTTTCTCCTGTCTGATTCCAAAAAATGACAGAAGTGTCCTAAACAGTCAGATTATTACATCAGTAGGTTTGCAGCTCCACAAGAGATGGAAGCTCTACTAAAACATCTGTTTCCTGACAGGTTGGTTCATTATTCCTTCAAGTAAACTTCCAGAAAAGGGCTTTACATCCTTAGCAGTAAGAATTCAACAAGCTGGAGATGAGGCTGATTGCTAAGTGGAAAAGTTACTGGTTTTTGTGAAGGCACAATGCAGCCACCTGTGTACTGTTACACTGTGGAAATTAGTAATTTGTCTGGTATGGCTTTTGGTCTGACAAATTCTGGAGGTAATAAAAAAATCCTAATTTTTTGTGGGTTTTTAAGTCATCTTCCCTTTTCTTTATCCACAAATGCCATGTGCATGCCTCTCTTAAATATGCTGGTTTTGTACTATTGGCTGAACTTGCTCATATCAACTTGTAGAGATTCCGCCCCAGCTTATGAGATGAATTTCTGAGGGAGGAATTCAGTTATGCATTGTGCTTCCTTTGCTATACATCCTAGTTCTGTAGACTGTACATTCAACTTACAGATGTAAACCTGGTATTGGTTTTAGTGTTATTCTTTTAATTCTTCATGGAATGATGGAACACAATATGGCCCCTTTTCATCACTATATTTCTTCTTTTTCAACCCATGAAAAAAAGCAGGCACTGGTTAAATCCAAGAAGTGATTTTTACACCAGTGTACAATCCTTTCACTTGAAGAGAACACCTTTTCAAAAGCCCATCTGAGTAGGCTACCCCTGAATAGATTTGTTGTTATCCAGATTGAGAAAGTGAAGCATGCTCCTTGAAAACATGCTGGTACCTGTAGAATTATCATGCCTCTTTTTCTGTCTGTGAAGTTTCTTTTGCAGAGAAACTCATGTTACTTCTCACTTTCTCCCTTTGGTGGAGAGGAAAAGGACCTTAAAATAAGTCTTGTTAGGAGAGACAGGAAGCTGCAGACAACCAGTGCCCCTTCAGATCTGCCTGTCGTTGAAGTGCATCTCACACTTTCATGCTTTTACTTAGTCTGCTAAGAACTTGCCACCAACATTGGGTATTGTAAATGTCCTCCTCAATTAGACTGAGTTTTCTTTCTCTGTTTATGGATATTTTTTTTTTTTTTGAGGGTCAGCTTAGCCTGAAGCCTGGAAGCAGCTTTGAGTGCACCTTCTACACTTGCAGTGTTGGCTGTAGAAACTGTGAGAGAGCTGAGCCTTGCTGAAGCAAGGGTGTAGCCTTGGTAGTCATCTCCAGTGAGGCAAGGGACTTCTGCTGAATGTGGCCTTGGGGAGTTTAAAGCAGAGAGATCTCTCATGCTCAGTAACAGGAATGAGTGTTGTTGTCAGATTCTTTGCAATTACGTGCAGATCTCAGGGGTAACCACAGTGTGTTTCACCTAATAAATGAAATAAGAACTAGATAATGTGCAACAGCATTATGAAGAGCTTGTAAGACAGACTCCTCTCTCTCTGTCCTGGGGAGGTGGTGTGTGTGCTTCAGCTTGAGGGTGAGGTGCTTAGGTGAACGCTTCTGCCCAGCAGTGTGGCATGAGTAGCTTAAGAACACTGAGAACTATGTGCAGTGGATCAGTGTTGCTGATCCTTGTAACGCCATGGAGGATTCATCTTAAAGAGCAAAGAATCCAAAAGCAGTATTTTCAGGCATTTGCCTGGGCTCTATTTCTATGAATTGCAAGAGAACGTGGAGAATAGACGGGTGGCTGAGGCCCTCTAGTGCCACCAGAGCACAGCACTCCTCGGGCACAGCGGCCACAAAATTGTACTTTATATTCTGTTTTTTAATACAAAGAGACTTTTTACACTAAAATACCTCATGTGGTACTAATTGTTTATATGTAATTGTTTACATACTGGAAACAGGGATTCTCTGTCATATATTTTTCATGTCTTCTTTTGCAAATCTGTGTGAAAAGTGAGGGAGGATTCTATTTGCAACCATTATCATTAAATGTAAGTGTTGCTGGCAACAAAATGCTATACAGGGAAGCTGAAGGCTTGTAAGTCAGATTTTTTACCATGCTTATATCTCTGCTCAAGAATGACTGGGAGGAAACACTGCAGAGTTACTGGTGTTTGATGCTGTAGTATGTATAATGTAGGGATGTGAGGGATGGGGAAAGAAAAGTGCCAGTGAGGGAGGATAGACATAGTTGTGGGGTTTTGTTTTTGGTTTTGTGGTTATTTGCCATGTGGTTTTTGGTTGAATTGCTAAGATATTGAGAATCACTCCCAAATGCTGTGATCTAAGATGCAGCAGTACAGACACATGTTAGAATAGATCCCCTTTGTGGTTAAAAGTTAACTTAGAAGTGTATGTTCACAGCTAGTGTAAAGTAGTACAAAGCTCTCCTTCTAGGAAAAACGTTAAAGAGTCCAGACAATAGATCCATTTAAGGGAACTCAGTGGTGGCCTTCGGCTGTTACTGATGTGGCTCTTTTCAGTATTTCTGTGTTGCCCTAGTCTCATAACTTGTTGGAATGGTAGCTTTTGCCAAAATCTAGATATTTACTCTTGTGACAAAGTTGTGGCATACTATCAGATATGAATAGCAGCTAGTAAAGCTTTAATAAATTAATTTTGTACTTAGTCGGCAAGTTGGCTTGTCAGTCTCACCAGTCTGTAACACTGCTCCTCATTTTGCTGTTGCAAGAAATCTTTAATAAGCAAAAGAAGGTGGTGAGCCTTATCCAGAATACCATTATCTGTCTGTTCTTATAGTAAATGATAACTTTTGTAAAATTCATAGTTATGTGAAAACAGTTTGGATAGTAAATTTCAACTTTTCTTTCCAAAGATGGTAAGGTTTATGCTTCTAAGATTGTAAAACTATGCTGGAAATTTTCTGCCCTTTCTTTTGTTCATTTTAGATGTTGAGATGACCAGAGATTATAGGTGTGATCTAGCTGTGCCTCTACACTCTTCTAGATAAGGTCCAATTAACATCTGAGTTTCAAAAGCTTTTGTTCAGTTGAATTTTTCTGTGGGCATCAATAACAGATTTAGGAGGAACAAAGAAAAATAAAGGACGGGTTTGGTTTGTTTGGTTTGGTTTTTTTTTTTTTCTTTGGCTGGGGGTTAGTTTTAAGACCAGTTCAGGCTGAAAAAACCTAGTGGTAGGTTATTGAGGACTTGTGTATGGCACTGAACACATCCTGCCATATTCAGCGTTGATTGTTTAGCCAGTTCTAGAATTGTAAATGTCTCACTTGTATTTGGAACGGATAAGGAACACCTGACATTGTTACATACGAGAAAGGGAAACATTCAGTATAAGGTGATCTTTTTCTTTTTTTTCAGTCCTTCAAGGATCTTATGCATAGCATATGAGGTTTTGCAAGGTTTGGAATATATGAACAAACATGGAATGGTCCACCGAGCACTCTCCCCTTGCAATATTCTTTTGGATCGAAAGGTACAACTACAGGAGTGAATCTGTGGTTTTGTTTGGTTTTGGTTTTTTCCTCTTTCTGTCAACAAGTAGCATGCTGTGTCATGTATGGAGACTGGGCAATCACAGTCCTAAGGGGGGGTGGAAATTGCACATGTGAAAAAAATATTGATTTTGTTTGGGTTGTTTTTTGGGTTGTTGGTGTTTTGTTTTCTTTTGTTTTTAAAAAAAGAGCCCTACAGTTTTCTCCATGTCATAAATTCCACATGTATTTCAGATTTTATTTTTCCCCTTTTTTTCTGTCACAAACCATTGGGGTTTTTTCATGCTATTCTTCTTAATAAGAGTCGTAATCATAAGTCTACTTGTGATCATTGTAATTAGCTACAAGACCTTCCTAGCTGTTCAAATAGGAAAATATTTCTTCTAGCTAATTAGCTGTTAATATTTCCTGTGTTTTGTGATGATCTGATACTTAACTTTTAAGATATCAACATGTTTTTTTCATATTAAATTGTTAAAATTGCAATGTCTGTCCATTCTGTTGTCACAGACGGTTGCGTTGGCAGTGTGGATTAGTGGTTCTGCTCATAAAAGCTGAAATAAATTAATAGCTGCTCTTCTACTCAGAGCAGTCGTTGCATCTGAACTGACAGCTATAGACCTGTCTGCTCTGTCCTTCCTCTTCTTAATCAGATAGAATAACTTTTTCCTCTCCCTGGAAAACACAAGGAAAAGTGGAGGAAGGAAGGAACACTTTTATATCTTTGTAAAAAAAATGAAAATCATAGTAATGTTCTAGCAAGTATGCTCTGTCTTATCTATCTATTCTATCTTATCTGTCTATTCTATCTTAATCAGATAGAATAACTTTTTCCTCTCCCTGGAAAACACAAGGAAAAGTGGAGGAAGGAAGGAACACTTTTATATCTTTGTAAAAAAAATGAAAATCATAGTAATGTTCTAGCAAGTAAAAGTACTTTATGATTGTAAGATGCTATAAAATTAATAAAAGAACAAAAGGGGACCATCAGACCACAAAGTTGTAAACTTTTCCTCTGCACTTTGAATAGCTTGCTGATGTGGGCTCATGTGCTGATGTTGCACCATCTGCAGGCTGGCTGAATATAATTCAAAATCCAGCAGACACTATCTCAGTTAAATCTATGTGCCTATTTTTTGTTTTTTTGGTTCTAACTGTCTGCCTCCACAGAATAAAAGCAAGCACTGGGAAAACTTGTTTGTTTGAATTGTGTTGATACAGTTAAGGAGAGCAAGATAGTCTTGGGTTGATGAAAAGGACTGGAAGAGCAAGGCTAGGGAATGGAGAAGGTGAGGGAATAGTGCTGGTGTTGGGGAGTTCTAGGATTCAGACAGGATCTTGAACAGTATTCAAACAAGAAAAGTTCAATACAGTTTTTAAGCCTTTATATTTACTGAAAATATGCTGTAATTTACAAAGTTCAGATATTCTTGTGTGTTCTGAACAAGATGATTGCTTAAAGCTCTTGGAAAGAAACAGGCAGAGAAATTATTAGAAACAAGCACCTTATTAATTTGCAGTGGAATTCTGTGTAATAGATTGGACAAAAGAGGGTCACTTTTATAAGTCTCTTTTTACAGCTAATGCTACTTGAAATGAATTTTTTAATTTTTTTATTTTTAATCTTGTACACAAATTCTTCCAATGTTGGATTCTGCTCTTCTTGATCATTTAATGTTTTCCTTTTCAGGGGCATGTGAAGTTGGCTAAATTTGGACTTTACCATATGACTGCTCAAGGTGTTGATGTTGATTTTCCTATAGGGTAAGGATGTAGTTTCAGAATACACATATATCGGGGATGTATTTTTTTCAGGAATTACGTTTAGAGGAGTCATCTTCAAAAATGTGTTGCATGCACAGGTTGTTGTTTTAATACATATCTATTGCATACACCCCTTACACAGAAGCTTCTGATAATGTCACTGAGGAGATGATCATCTGACTAGGTGAAATTAATGAAAGACAGAGAATGAGTATCATGCAAGCATGTTACTGTAACTACATAATGTCAGTCCTAATTGCCTAGCTTTGCCTTCAGATGCTGATAATTTCCTGTGACTTGGATTCTAGAAGTAAGATCTAGTTTAAAGTTGAGGAGAAAGCATAATCAGTGTTTGGCTGTACTATGGACCTAGGATCCATTTATTTAATGTACTAATACTGAAGCTCAAGACACGTTTTCTTTGAGATCTGTAGGCATACTATTTTGAAAGCTGCTGCTTTTTCATCCTTCTTATGTAGGAGCCACTGTATTTTGCAATTGGAATGAAAATGCTGCATGTGTAGATTTCAACTGAATAAAATAGAACAATCTGCATTGCTATGAATTCCAGTTTCTCAGAATGCAAAATTATTTTGATTACTGTAACTGAAAGGTAGAGGGGTTTGGACAGACAGGATATTACTTAATGTTTCTGCATCTTTCTAGGTACCCGTCATATCTGGCACCTGAAGTAATTGCACAGGGAATAGTCAAACCAAGTGATCATACTCATTGTGAGAAGCCTCTGCCTTCTGGCCCTAAATCAGATCTGTGGTCTCTTGGTATAATATTATTTGAGCTTTGCATGGTATGTAAAAGGATAATTATCTTGATTTGAGACTCTTGAGGAATAGTTACATTAACTTGATTGCTCTTGAGTATGGGGTTAATGACACTTTGCCCACCACCAGAGTCCAAATACCAGAGTATGTTAGCATTCCTACCTGGACAGCATTGGTGGTGGTTCAAGTACTAGGATGCATATTGGCTTGGCATGAATACATCTGTTACTCGTGGAGGGCAGCTGCCTGTTAAGCCACAATGATGTCATTGCATGAGTGAATTCTTGGTGAGAAATGGCTTCTGAAACAAGAAGTCTCTCTAGGTAATTTGGGTTGTTTTGGTTTGGGTTTTTTGTTTGTTTGTTTTTGTTTTTTTAGTTGTGCTTTTAAGCATTAAATGAGCATTGCTGTCATGCCCTCATTGTCCTTGGAAAGGATAAGAAACTAATAAAAGTTCACGGAGTGGAGCAAAGAGAAGAGAATCTGCCTTATTGCCAGTTCAAAGAGCTTCTGTACAGAATTAAGGGTTTATTTGAAAAATGCTTATTTGACTCTAGAAGTTGAAATAAATCATGACAGCATAATCTTTACTATTTTGTATAAGTTAAACTGGACTTCTTTCATTCGAAGACAGCAATGTTCTGTAAGGTGGTATGATCTTGCAAACACCTCAATAGTAATATTTGCTCTCGTTATGTAAGGCAACTAAATTGTCAGACAATTGCATGGTTAAGAACCTGTTTTATACAGCAATTAAATCAGGATGTTGAAATAGAGTTGCATATTCTTCCCTCTTCTGTGAATGTGCATGATGTTCATAGATCATTATTCTTTTGAGTAAGATCATTATCTTAAAATTGCAGTGATATTTTTTTGAAACACCTTTAAAGGGATTTTCAGATGTCTTTTCAAAAGCGCTGTGCAATAATACAAGCTTTGAGTACCACGTTTAGTAATTAACTTTGTTCATTCTCAGGTTGGAAAATGCGTTTTTTTTAAAGCCTGACACTGAATTAGCAATAAACTTAACTTTGTTCATCCTCACGTTGGAAAATGCTGTTTTTGAAAGCCTGACACTGAATTAGCAATAAACCTGCAGGTTTTCTAAGGCAGCTTGAGGATTTCTTTTGCCTTTTTTTTTTTTTGGTATGCATTTTTTCCTGTTAAGAGACATTATAAATGCAACGGGTTTTTTTTCTGTGTGATGACATGAAGCTGTTTCTACTATAGTTGGGGTAAATAATGTTTTCTGTTCTAATAGGTAGTTTTCCTAAATGTAAAATTCATGTGTAGAAGCTTGTTTTGCTGTCTTCGTATATAGATGGGTGTGTGTCTATACCTAAATATCAAATATTTATCTCAGGTGTTGATTCCATTTTGTTGTTCATTTAGGGGAGAAAATTGTTCCAGAGTTTGGAGATAGCAGAAAGGTTGAAATTTATAATTACATTGGGTAAGTAGCACAAAATCAAAAAGTTTCCAAGCAGTTCTATGATTACAGCTTGACAGACAAGTCAGCTTGTGATGCTCAGACCTAAGGCACACTTTACCTTTGTCATGTTTCATCTTCAGCATTATATAGGCATTGGAAATGTGGTTGATTGTCTAGGGAAGATACAGAGGTGGGTGATAGGAAAAATAACTTTGCAGAAGGGTTTTGAGTATGTTAGAGTAAGGGCAAATTATTATTAAAAAAAAAACATGCTCAGGAAAGGTTGTAATTTTGATGGTTATTTGTTGTGTTGCAGGAAGTTTCTGAAATGAGTTGGGAATTGTAAGACACTAAACTATCCTCGCACTAGCAGGGCTTACCAAATCCCAAGCTGGGAGAAGCAGGACTCAAATAGGAAGACAGAAAATAGCTGAGAAACATCTTACTGGATCTGGGCTTTCTGGCTTCATCTACAAACTATGAAATGTTACTGTAGATGTGGAGTTTTTGCTTAATGTAAATGAGTCTGGAAGTGGGACTCTTCTGTGGCTTCTAAAACTTGATTTCTTGTGGGGTTTGTGTATAAACCACGAGGAGGGGAAGGGCATGAATTTGCAGTTTGAAGATTTTTCAGTAAGCTATTATTATCCAGAGCAAATAGTAATACAGGTAAAGTTGGTTACTGTCAGCAGAAACGTCTTCTTTTATTCAGCAGTTAGTGCTTGTGCGCTGAAATTCTGACTGTTTTGGTAATTGATTTGTTAACAAAAGTTACTCAAGCACTTCAGCCCCCTTCAAGTTGAGTGCAAGTTCTTGGTAACCTTTATCCACTGGAAAACATTCATGTCCCCACTTAAGAATTATTTTCTCAATAGTTTATTGAAAAGAAGTTTATAAAATACTGCTAGTATTATCTGCAAAAAGCAATAAAATAAAAATTACTTTGAGCTTCTATATGCAGGTATTTTTAAGATGTTTTCAGAATTTTAAGTTGAAAGACTGTTTTGTCTTATTTTGTAGAGACAGACACTCTGGAATTTACTAAGCTTGCAAAAAGATTTTCACTATTAAATTAGATGTGCTACTTAACTTTCATAGGTTTCAGTTTTCTGTCTGCATAGATGATAATTTTCATTTCTAATTTTGAGAATTCCCTTAAAAGGTGATGTAGCCACGTCAATAAAAAGCCAAAGTTAAATGCTTTTTACTGGTGTAGGATTTTACCTGATATCTTCTTTTACTGGTATAAATTTTTTCATAGTCTTTAATTTTTTTATTATTGTTTGTTTTTCAAAGGCTGTGTAGATGATATTGTAACAGTACTGGCTGAAGAACATGGTTGCCTTGATATTATTAAGGTTTGTGGAACTAGTTTGCTCTTCCATGCGATCTTTTTCAAAGCATTTTATTACTGTTGTATAATATTTCACATATATAAGCTTATTTGGTCACTTGATGTATTGCAGCACAAGGGAGAATTTTTAAGTCTAAACTATATATTTAGAGATCCTTTCAAATAGCCAGTACTGGTAGCATTCATTCTTTACTAAAATTACTGTCAATTTCAGTAAATGTTCAGCCTCTCTGGATAGTTTAGTAAGTTACAAATTTTCTTTGAAGTACTTTCAAATATTTTTCTTGTAGAAAAATAGTCTTCTATCTGGTCCACTTTAGACGTACTGATAGTGTAGGTTTATACAGTTCGGTTCCTCCACACCCCCAAAATTAATCACTGAATTTTAGTGTCTCTATATTTTGAGACATTGTGTAAAAGGATTCTGACTATTAGCAGAGGGCAGTACCCAAGTACTGCATTGTTTCAAGCTGGGTACAAAATATTTAAATCAAGGGGGAAAAAAAGCCACATACATTACAAATTTTTCATAATATTATATCCTCCAAATCAAATGCAGCTGAGAAGTGAGAAGAAATTACCTCCACAGGATTTTTGTCTGACACAGCTAAACTCACGTGTAGGTTAGGAAATTTTATTACCCTCAAAGGCATATTGAGTATGTTAGAAGTTAAGTATGAGCTAAGTGGCTTGCTGAATCAAGCCCTAAAGAGACCTCCTTCATGTATTTCCAGGACCTTTCTGAAAATATAATTGCTCTACTGAAGAAATGCCTTACATTCCAACCTTCTAAGAGGCAAGTATTCTGTCCAAATGCCTAGTAAACTCTGGTGAGATATATGAAATTATAAGACCTGTTGCTGAACCTTTTTTGAAATACTGTTGATTTGTGCTACCTGTAATAAATTTTGCTACTTTTCCTTTTTAAAGGAAAATAATTAGAGAGGGTGGAAATCAAGTGTGCAAAACCTTGACATTGAATCGGAGTATTTTGGGGGAAAGCTATTCAGGCATTTGTAACTCTTAAAGTTCATAGTTTTTACTGATTCTGTGTCTGGAGCGTGGTGGTGGTTACTATAGCTCCATTGCAGCCAGAATTAGGGCTGCTTTTTTCAAATCTCTCAGAGTACTTTTTCCATCAGTCCACCACAGATTTCTTCTGAAAGCTCAAGTATGTTTTTGCTCTTTAATCAAGGCTTCGCATTAGCATTTTTTAATCTCTGCTTAGAGGAATTAAAGGGGAATTAATAAAATATTTGCTATGTACATTAAATGAAGGTAAGAGCTGTACTTGGGCTGTAAACATGCTGCATGGTGTGATATACGTCATGAATTGAAAAAAAAATTGGTAGGCATTTTTGCTATTAAAATTTCTGAAATCAGATATTTAAGATAACTTGCTGATATTACTGGGGACATTTCTTCCTGAAATGTTACATTTTGAGAAGCGCTTTGCTCTTAGTATTTTATTCTCTTTTCTTAATTCAAGGCCAACTCCAGAGGAATTGCTGCATGACAGTTTGTTCAGTGAAGTATCCTCAGTATATCCTCCCTTCCACAAACCAGCTGGTCTGTTCTCATCTTCTCCAAGGTGTGCTAATTTAACGCTTCCTGAAGACATAAGTCAATTATGTAAAGGTAAAAGCAGGTAGCGTGATAAATGTCATTGGAGGGGGAAGGAAAATAAAATGATTTTGCATTTTCTTTCAGTACTTTGTTGGAGAGAAACTATGAAGTGTTCCAATACTACATTCTTGTAATAAGCTGTTTAATGGGCAGAGGTGATGTGCGCAAGTCACAGGAGGGCATGTTGACTTTTTGCTTCAACTTTGGGGAATAGATAGCATTAATATTCAAGTCCAGCGTGGAAGAGCAGTGTCATCTTTTGCCTTTAGAATTTGGATGTGTGCTACTACCTAAAAGGAGGTTGTAGTGAGGCTGGTGTTGGTCTCTTCTCCCAAATTACTGATAATGGAATGAGAGGAAATGGCCTCAAGTTGCGCCAGGGGAGGTTTCAATTGGCTATTAAGAAGAATTTCTTCACTAAGAGAGTGGTTAGACACTGGAACGGGCTGCCCAGGGAAGTGGTGGAGTCACCATCCCTGGAGGTGTTGAAAAAACGAGTGGATGTAGCACTTGAGGCTATGGTCTAGTGGTTAGGGAAATGTAGGGAAGAAGGTTGGATTTCATGATCCTAGAGGTCCTTTCCAACCATAGTGATTCTATGTGCATGTGCAAGGTATTTTTCACTGAATAGTGTTATGAATTGGTAATTGCATTCCACTGGATCATAGCATTGAGGTGATTTTTGGAAGCATTGGAAAACTAAATCCTTGTGAAAGGGGTCATGTTCTAGAATAAGATAACATTTCTAAGTTTAAAGCTACAGTATGCTGAAAGTCTTGTTACTCTTAAGTCCTCATAACTTATTTTTGTGAACTCAAAATATTTCTACATTTTTAGAAAATCTCATTGATTGGTTTTTGGAGACGTAGGATCTAATACCTTGTTAGTATGGGCATGGTGTGTGAAGAGAGGATAGATTGTAACTACTCAGTATGAATCACTACTTTCTTATTTTTCCTTTCATCTCTCTTTTGTGTATAAAAGAATGTTTGGGTTTTGCGCTTTGTGTTTGTGAGGAAAAAGAGTCCTCACTTCAGTGTGTTTATCTCATTGGTTCTATTTTCTGGCACCAAGGCAAATCGCAGAAATATTTGCTTTTTTTCTGACTTCTGCCCATCTGCTCGTTCCTTAAATCTTCCTAAAGGGCACTTGCAAAGGGAAGATCAGTTTTCCTCTTACTTCATATTAAGGTCTAGGACCTTTCAAGCATAATTTATTGGGGTTTTTTTTTTCCCCAACCATATGTCTAGAGTGGTAGGAAGAAATACAAACTGCCTAAAAGGCTGTAACTTACTTTTATGTGGTTTCTTCTAATAGATGAAGATAGTGATTACCTGGCAGAAAGATCAATTGAAGAAGTTTATTATCTTTGGTGTTTGGCTGGAGGAGACTTGGAGAAAGAACTCGTCAACAAGGAAATCATTCGATCAAAGCCACCTGTCTGCACGCTTCCCAAGTAAGGAAAGAGAAGCACTTTTAAGGGAGAAGAGGATGGATGGAGAAAGCCAGTGATTCTGAGAGAATTTTGTTTTGGATTTTAGTTCAAAGACCTGTATGTATGGAAAAATATTGAAAATAATGCTCTTGAACAGCAGGAAGTCTTGTCACTTCCCCTTTTGACCAAATTTAAGGTGTTATGTGAATGCCTTGTATCTGTTACCTACCTGCACTTTCTATTGCTTTCTGAAATTTGAAGAAATGCAGGTGAAGTGCAAAACACTGAACTGCAAGTCCCTCAATTTAGCATGCTTTCCAATAGCATTAAGTTTTAGTAAAAAAAAAAAAAAGTTTTACTGTGCTTCAATGACATATAAGTTATTTAATTCAATAATGTTCTGTAACTGATTTGCACATTCTGAATTCCCTTTCACAGAGCAGCAGTGCTGAATAGTTGACCCAGTTATTCAGCAGATCAGCTGAATGATAATTAAGCATTTTTTTTAAATGCTTCATTTTCTGACTTATAATTCTGCAATAGCATTTTAGTCATTACTGCTTTTGCCTTACTGGTGCACAGGTTGCAATTTTGTGTAGTATATTCATGCTTTAATTGTACAATCTGATCTTAATAAGCATAATTGTGTGTCTATATAGGTAAATTTTCTGGGTTTGTTTTTAAAAATACATGAAGTCAGTGTACAGCCAAAATGCAATATTTTGGGAAATAAAGGTGGAGCTAGATTTTAAGTGGTTTTTTTGTGGTGAAGTTAGGGTGAAATTTTGAATGTGCTTCTGCAGGCACTTTTGAATTATGAGGGGAAAACATGTTTTGTCACACTATCTATCTTGAAAATGAAGTGTTAATTTCAAAAATGCAGTCTAACTTCTAAGTGGTACTGAGAATGTTAGCTTAACTTCTGGAAATCAGTTTTGTGTTGTCTGTTTTAAAATTATCACCAAATAGACAACTTACATGTACTCTCTCTTGAATGCATTTGTAGCCTTAGATGGACTACAACAGAAAAGGTCTGCCTCAGACTTTTGCTTCTTTTTTGTCATGGTGGGAGATAGCTTTCCTATGACAATGTTTTATTTTTGCTTTTCACAATAAACGGCAGTCCAGCTCTGTGCCAGGTCCTGCTCTGTGCCAGGTCATGGAATCAAAGGGAATATTAATCCCGTGTCTCATTACTCTTCCTTCATGCAAACCAAAGTTATAGAAAACCTCAAATGTACCTTTTTCTATCGAAACCTATTTGAATAATTTAAGGTTATTGTACATTCCCTTGATAGCAGGTTTTATGCCAAGAAGAGTCAATACTGTATACTTCTAAGAGCTAGTATTTTGTTTTAAAGAGGAAACTGATTGATGTAAGAATTTTCTATTTTTTTCTAACTCAAGACATGTTATAAAATGACCTGATTTTTTTTTTTCTCCCTTTTGAAGCTTTTTATTAGAAGATGGTGAGAGCTTTGGGCAAGGACGAGATAGAAGTTCCCTCCTAGATGACACAACTGTGACTTTGTCACTGTGCCAGCTCCGAAATGTAAGAATAATATTGTGTCCTTGTTCTTAAGTCTCCACTGTGGAAACATTTGTTTAAAGGGCACATGGAACCTGCTTTTCATACAAATGACCATGTTACTGATTAGAAGGGAACACTTCTTGGTGCCTGAGTCAGATTCTGATTTACGCTGTTAACCTGCTTTGCTTGCTTACTAAATTTGATTTGTCTTCTGTCTGTCCATCCCCTTTCTGCGTCCCTCCCTTTCCTTATTTTTGTTACCTGCTTTGTTCTGGTGTAGCTCAAATAGTTCTCTAGTACCTGATATTCTACGCAACTGCTAAAGTAATTGAACAGTATCTTCTTGTGTGCTTGAATTCCTGTCTGTAGGTGGCTCACAATATTCAAAAGAAAGATCCACTCAGTTCAGTTTTAGCTCCTTAAAGGCTCCTTGAAGTTGGATACCAAGTTTCCAGGAGCTAGTTAGCGATCTTTGAAGTAGATAACTATTAAACAACTAATTCAAAAGACAGCTTCAACACATTTTGCTAAAATGAAGTAATGCAATTTTTTTCCATCTTCAGTGAAAAAATCAACATACAATAATTCATCATTTTGCCTGATGTAATGATCACGATTCACACAATTTACTGAATGTGTCACTGAAGCGTTGTAATTGTTCATGTCTTTGGTCATGCAGAGCTTTATTGCTGCAGAATTAGAAATGTATACTGCACTGCTTGCAGCTTGCTTTTTACAGTAGCGAACTCAATTCTGTCACAGTCAGTTAAAAAACCCTTTCTGTATGATTACAGGGGTTAATAGAGAAAAGGAAGTGACTTGCTCTCTGCCACCATTACCTTAATTTTGGGGGACAATCTGGGAAATACTGTGTAAATCTATTCGTTCAGTAGAACTTTGCATTAATTTAGACAAATGCATGAAAACAGACCAAAGAACTGGGCTATTTTGTTTGCTTGGTGGGTGGAGTTTGGGAGGTGGGGTGGACGTTAAGAGGCAATATGCACTACCGTTCCTACTGTTGTTCCTATAATTTGGCAGCTTTTAAGGCTGTTTTTCAACTTTTCAGTGTATAGTTTTGCATATTTGCCTACTTCTATAAATGCAGCAGCAAACAAGTACATACTGAAGTTTAGTTTTGGGCAAGATTCAAGGTTGAACTGTGCAGTGTTAGTTGAAATGCATGTATTTTTGAACTTAATTCTTCAAACACCTTTCATAGAGTAGAGCATGTTGCGTATAATCAAAAAGGGATCAGTACTGAATGAACTGAGGATGAACTGCTCTGTCGATCCCAGGAGAAACAGGCTGTGTGCCGTATGCCTTTAAGCTGGGGATTGAACTGCAGAACAGAGCACTGCAGGGAGGATGGTATTAAACTTTAATCACAATGCACCAAAGATGTCTGAAAACTTCAAGCTGAAGTCCAGGCATGCTTGTCTGTCACCTTTCTAGAGAGTGCCTGTGTTTCTATGCAGCATTCAGATGCTGCTAAAGGAACTCAAATTTGTATAACTCTTGAACTGATTAGAAACAAATCCAACATCTGCAGTACCTTTGCCGCTGCTTGGATAGGAAGTCCATGTAGAAAAATGAGGGAAATAAAAAGAACTATGTAATACTATTGATCTGTTAATCCATGGCCTGTAGAAGCTATTTTTTTAACTGGGAAATAGGTTTGTGAATGGGATCAGTATTATCTTCAGGCAAAAGAACTTCCATAAATTCAAAAAGCCTGTATTAGAAAAAAATTTTTTAGTGTTAAAGGCTGTATATTTCTCTGCTGACAGAGAACTGAGCTAATTCTTTGGTCTCAAGTCATGCTACTGAATTTGGAAAATTAATAATAGTTTTCATATTCTACTAAATATTTCCACTTGAATTCTGAGCAGCATTCTGTTAATGAATTATTTTATTCTTTATTTCAGAGATTGAAAGATGTTGGTGGGGAAGCATTTTATCCATTGCTGGAAGACGAGTAAGTATGTGTCTTAAGTCTGTAAGCTTTAAGAGACTGAATTTTGAGTTATTAATTTTGAGTGACAGTGCACAGCTAGGCACAACTATCTTCCAAAAGCAAACCTTAGTGTGTCCTTCTTTGGCTCGTAAAGTCAACAAGAACTGATAAGCATACTGCACTGGTGGACTTAAGGCCCAGATACCAAACTGAAGATCTAGTCTGGTTCTCTGTTCCAGAAATGAACTGTTTGTGCTGAATATTCAAAATGTTTGTGCTGAATATTCAAAATTATCCATTTTTACTTGTTTATGACTCACAAATGCATCACATGATATTTTGTTCACAGTGGTTTGTGTTTCTTGCTCTTTACCATTATCCTTACTCTTTTTCCAGCCAGTCAACTTTACCTCATTCAAATAGTAGTAATGAGCTGTCTGCAGCTGCTAGTCTTCCTCTGATCATCCGGGAGAGGGACACAGAGTACCAGCTAAATAGAATTGTCTTGTTTGACAGGCTGTTGAAGGTATGGAATCTTTCTGGTGCTGGATAATTGGATTTGGTCTGTTAATTAGAGGATTTTTGAAAGAACAAGTAATTGAAGAGGGAAATAGACCACAGAGAGAAAGGGTGAAGAAAACCTTACAGAGGTATAAGAATATTGAAAATAAAAATATGAGAAATAGCTTTTTTCAGCAGTAGTAAATATAAAATATGCACATGAAAATAGAGCTGCTGCCAATACCTGTTATACTGCAGAAAATACTTCTGTATCTTTTATTTCATAATAGACTAAAGTATTATGTATGCAAATGTGCCTGTAACATTTCTGCATGCCCAAGCAGTAAGGTAATTGAAAACAATGCCAGTCTTTCCTGTAGCAGTGCTGTGTTAGAAATATGGGTTTTATACTAAGGGGGGGAAATATGAGTTCCTAATTTACATGTATGCAGAGAGATGGATTCATCCTTAAGAATGAGAGAGCTGATGCACATCAAGCACACTTAGGAAGGTATAAAGTAGAAATGTTAATAAAACAAAATTGGATAGATAGTATGAGAAGAAATATGTCATGAAAAAAACTTTCATTAAAAATTCAGATTAATAAATTTATATATCCAGTGCATACCAAAACACACAAATATATTTATGAGGAGTGAGTATTTTGATGTCAGGGAGTAGTCATCTGTCCAGGCCTTCCAGTTAAGAATGAAATTTACTTGTTATAAAATTTGCATTTGCCTTTCAGGCTGACAGCGTTTGTCCTTTGGGGGGTTTGAATTGTTTCAGTTACATGGTAATAATTTTTCCTGTTACTCTCTTCTTTTTGAAGGCCTACCCATATAAGAAAAACCAAATTTGGAAAGAAGCCAGGGTTGATATCCCTCCTCTGCTCAGAGGCATAACCTGGGCTGCACTGTTGGGTGTTGAGGTAAGGGTAATGGGATGGCATTTGAGGGGTTCCAGTACCAAGTGGGAAGGGAATGGGATAGGAATGGGATTGACATGAAAGCTGGAATGGATTTGAAGATTTGACAGGTAGAATTACTGGAATCTCAAGCAAAATGAGTCATGAAGTTTTCTGAACAAAGACTGTTCAGACAAGTTTCCTTCTTGTTTCTGATAATATTGTTTGATTTCAGAGAACGTGTGTAAACTTCACAGCCTTTAATTTTGATTATGGGGTGGAATAATAATACCAATACAGCCAAATATTGCTGGATGGTTTAAATGCAATTGGTAGTTAACAGGTTTTTCTGTTTTGATTTTTAGTATTTTTGACAAACAGATAGTACCCCTCTGTTCCAGCCAGCAATAGTTGGTCAAAGCAGGATGAAACGTACCAAATGTATTTTTCTCACCTATTAATCCGTGCACTTCCTCCAAAGACTGGAGAATAAACAGATTAAACATAACCCTTTTGGACAAAGGACTAGAAAGGAGTGTTCCAGAAATGAGGATTCCTTGACTGCCCAGCTTTTACGTCTACTCCGCTTGCAGTCTGCAGTAGTGCAGCAAAGAGGTTCTTACAGCTAACACATCCCAGGTTATTTAGTATATTTAGCTTAGGACATGATCTGCTGAGTGCCATATAATATGACCAAATAAAAGCTGCGCAGGTAAAGGACAACTGCTGGTCAGGGTTTGTAGACTGGGTCTTGGGAGATGAGTCAGTTCTCATGCTTCATCAGCTTACCAGCTGTACAATGCTGTGGTAGTGTTTCCCTGTCCTGTAACATTAAGATGGACTTGTTAACCTGCTTGTCTTGGGATTCATGCAAGGATAGGGTACTTAAGAGTAATGCATATTGCTAGTATCAATATTTATTCACAGGCAGGTGGATTCAGTACCTTTACAGAGATTATGCTGAAAGCCACTTGTCAGTGGCTGAGGTAAGCACTGAATTTAAACTGCAAGCATCTCTTAACTTGAAAATGGAAAACTGTATCAAATACATAGCTTTCAGCATAAACTACTGAAGATCACTGAAGATCATACTGAGGAGGTCTGTATGTCCTGAAGTATAACAGAATAAAGATGGTTACATTAAAATTCAGCTTTCAGAATTTTCTGTACCTTGTGAAATTTTTTCGGGAAAAATAGGTTGCCAACTAAAGCACTGAACAAAACCAGTCAAATTGTGTATATCAGTATATACTTTGTAATACAAATTTGTTAGCAAGGGTTTTCTAAATTCATGTTGTATTCTTCCACATTTAGGGTGCCATACAAGCAAAATATGATGCTATTGATAAAGACACACCTATTCCTACAGACAGGCAGGTAAGACTTCTAGTGTTATCAAATATTGTTGCTTGAAGTGGTGCAAAGATCTTTTCCACCAGTCACAGTCATTTGCCTATTAGAGCACATGAGGCTGGTAATATGAAAAGGGTTCCCCCATCCTCTAACCTTATTCCTGCTCTAGCAAGAATCTTTCAAAATGGGTAGGAACAAATAGTTGAACACAAATTACGCTACAGTGTGTGGAAATTGAAATGGCCTTGTACTTCAGAATCACTGTTTCTGTGGCAGTGACAGGGTGCCATGAACAGTATTACTGATACATTAATAAGTCTTGGGTATACTGAATGCTTGTTGTGCCTGTTGGACCTTATACCAGATAGTGCTGAGTACTCGGAGATCCTCTAAGTTGAGCTGTGCTTCACAGAAATGAGTTCTTAAGCAGTTTGGTTCCCCAAGAAGTCTTGCAGACATGAAAACACATCAGGAGGAACAGCTGTTCCTTGTGGCTGGATGAAGAAATATTTTCTATCAAATTTGGTACAATGTTCCGAGAACACTAATTTGATTATCCTTTAGAACAAAGTGATATTATATTAGTACCTGAATTGCATCCAAAAGTTGGGTCAGAACTGTAATCTGCTTTCTGCCCATTCAAGGACTAGAACCCTTTTAAAAATACTAATCTGGAGGGGGAAAAAAAAAAAAAAAAATCACTCTGATTTAATCTTTGACAGGGCTGATGGAATCCCCTGTCCCCTTTCAGTTTTTGTTTTGAGAGCGTTGGAAGAAGCAGGCTGTGTTTATGATGGTGGCCTGACCTACATTCTTTGGCTGACTTCCACCTCTAGTATTGCAAGATTGCTATAGTACTACCTCACTTATCCTGATTTTTAATTCTTATTATGTGCTTGGCTGTGGTGCAGATTGAAGTTGATATTCCTCGTTGCCATCAATATGATGAATTGCTGTCATCACCAGAGGGTCATGCAAAGTTTAGACGTGTATTGAAGGCCTGGGTTGTTTCCCATCCTGATTTGGTTTACTGGCAAGGTGAGTTTGACTAGCTGGCAAGGTCAGATAATAACTGGAAAGTTATGGCTGACTTAAAAATACTAACCTCTTCTCCCTCCCATAATGTAAGCTTTTTTTGAGTGCTTTCTTTTCTGTTTCTTTTGAAGAATTAATCTGTGGGTTATTGCAAATTTAGATCCTAATAATCTATGTGTAATTTGTGATGGAAAACTGCTCCACTCTTTTATGTATTTACTTGCCTTAAGTTCAAGTCAGTTTAGGGGAGGGAGGGGGGAGAAAGAAAAATGCAACAAATAACACAGACAAACAAATAAAAAACAACCCAAAAAATGTTGCTTTATCTTCAGCTCCAAGGTAAAACTGCTGAAGTTACAGAGAGAGTCCTTGAGATGGTAAATTGCATTTCTTGTAAGCCTTGGCAGAGCAATCAGTGTAGCATTACAGTTCAACAGTTTCAAATGCTCTTGGTTTTCATGCATTGATGTCACAGTTGTTCTTAGCATTATATGTGAAGCCTGACACTGCAGAATTGTAATCAGTATCAAGTATGCAAATTCTAATGATAAATTAATAAATGTATCTTGAGAGTTAAAATAAATGAACTCTTTATGCCATTTCTTCATGGTTCTTCTCTCTTCAGGTCTTGACTCTCTTTGTGCACCATTTCTGTACTTGAATTTTAACAATGAAGGTGAGTATATTTTTCTGCTGGAGGTGAAGGGGAAACAATCTGTCACCTGTATCTAGTTGTAGACAGATGTATGTGCACCCACTTATAGGTGGAAACTTTCTGTAGCTACAAAGGGATTTTAAAGTTCTTGTTGCCACAGGTTAAAAGAAATGGTTGGGTTTTGAAAAGTTTGTGGTGTGCAGCTTTTCAAGCAGGGTTTCAAAACCTGTGCTTATTGCCAAGCGCAATAATGAATATGTAATAAGAAGCACACATAACCTTGATTGTAGAAAAGCAAGAAATGGTTCTTCAGTACTTCTCTTTTTCAGTGAAGCTGTAAGTTCAGTTTAATGTGAATGCACTATTTGTGAACCTGTTAATCTGTCAGACCAGCTTTATTCAGGAAAGCTGATGATAGTTTTCAATGCCTAAAAGCTTATTAGACCAGCTTTGGATACGTGGCCTTTATCATCTTAGAATGTGATACATTCAGAATAGGTCTAGTCTGATCTTCCATTCTTACGGACTTAGCTTTCTTTGTGTAAGGTTTGTGTGTGGGAAAACTAGTTTCTTAGAACAATGACTCCTATTATGCTTACTATGCATACTAAATTAAATATTTCAATAGATTTTTCTTGTTCTTCGACATGTTCCTATACAGTTTGATTTTAGAACCTGTTTTCTTTCTTCCTATTGAAACAAAATGTAGTAGTAGTAGTGAATTATGTAATATTTTGTGTTCTGTTCTACAAACTTAATTGTACATACCTGTGTTGGATATTTAAAAAGTGGCTACAATGCTAGAAAAGTTGCTACATGGAGTTTGTTTTTAACACAGTTCTTTGTCATATTTGTTATAAATCTGATGGTTTTACTTGGAAAATTTCAAAAATCTTATTTATTTGGACAATTTATGACGAACCCATATTTCTTTTTTATGTCTGTGGTCTAGTGTCATGGCTAAGAATTGTGTTACAATAGATGAACTCTAAGCCAAGTTCCCAGGAATTAATCGAGGGGATAAACACTTAAGTTTTTACCCTTTGATCTCTATTTGTTGTGCACATGAGGAGCTGTTGAGAAATTTAAAATGTTTTTATCCATCCTGTATCTTAATTATATTGCACAATTGTTTGTTTTTTTTTAAATTAATTCTATCATCTTTACTCTCTGAGCTTAAATAAGAGATGAGATGCAAGTATGGCAGGGTATAAACTTGGGTGTAAGTTCTATAGGAGAAAACCCAGAAGACTGCAACAATACAGCTGTCTGAAATCGTCTTCTAGAATTTTATTCATCCAGGGACCTTTGCTTTTGATACAAACACCCCTATGGCTTTCCAAACATCATCTCACTACTTTGTTACTGAGAAGTGAAGATCAGGTTCGGGATCAT